ACAAAATAAAATAAAAGCTAGTGTAAACAATCCAAGGGCAAGTAGGAAAAAGATTGATAAATTTGATATATGAGAGAAAAATCAAACTTTTGCATGAAAAAACACAGCATAGACAAATAGACAAACTGAGAAGAGCCATTTGGAACCATGTCACAGATAAATGAATAACATTTCCAACATATGAAGTGCTTCTTGAGAATTGAAAAGAAAAAAACAAAATTTCTATAAAAATAGGTAAAAGAATATACAGTACACATCAAAAGAAATGTAAATGGCTTTATACCCATGAAATGGTGTTCATTCTTACTACTAATAAGAGGACTTCAATTTAAAATTAGGCTGAGATATCATTTCTTATCCTTTAGATTGGCAAGAATCCATACATTTGAGAACATATCCTGCTGGCCAGACTCTTGGGAACAGATGCTCCCATACATTGCTGGCAGAAATGTAATCTGTATACTGCCTATGGAGGAGGATTTGGAAGTATGTAGAAAACTGCATATGTCTTTATCTTTTGATATAGTAATCTCACTCCTAAAATTCATCTTGAAAATATACCTCCACAGGTACAAAGCACATTTTGATTTCTTATAATAGCAAAATGCCCATCAAAATGTGTGAATAAACTATGGTACATTCCTACAATGAAATACTATGCAATCATAGAAATGAGAATGATGTCTATATGCTGTTGTAAAGGGATATCTAGAATATATTTTTAAGAGGAAAAAAACAAAGCGATGTCCAGAGTAGATCAATTTGTTTTTATAAGAGGGGGACATATATGTATGAGAGATGTATTTATATTTTCAAAAAAATGTTTTGAAATATAAGTCAAAACTCCAAAATTATGATTAGTTATAGGGAACATAATGGCAAGAACAGAGAATAAAACTGAACTATTCTTTTTGCTTCTTTTAACTTTTTCATTTACAAAAATTATTTGTACTTTGGAACTGTTATGAAGTAAAAGCCTAGAGGACTACATTAGCCAAATGCAGGCAGTGGACCTTGTCTGGATACTGATTCTAACACTTCAACTTGCAGAACGCTAATTTTGAGACAGTCAGAGAAATTTGAACACAGATTAATTATTAGATGATATTAAGGAATTATTATGTGCTAGATGTGATTATAATGTGGTGTTTTAAAAAGGCCTAATTTGTAAGAGATATAAAATGAAGTATTTATGGACAAAATAATACTATATCCTAGAAAAATAATGTACAGCAACTATAAATTAAAATCATTAAAAAAATCATGAGTGATGTAAGATTCTTTCCTCCACAGAAACAGCTCCTCACAGTGAGATTCCTGGCATCTTTAACTTAATCTCTTAGGAGAGAGCTAAACATTTCATCTTGATTTATCCACAGAATCTTGCACAGTGGCATTTGCAAAATTGGGTGTAAAGGTTAGAATATTTTTGAAGGATCTGTCAATTTTATCTCTATAGGAGAAACAGAGATCTCAAAAACATTAAAAATGTGCATACATTTTGACCCATGAGTTACGATTTCTGGAATTTATCCCAAAAATATAGCTACAAATGTAAAGATTTAGCTAAATGAATGCTTATTCCAATAATTTTTCAGAGCAAAGAATTAGAAATACTTTGTCTGAATGTATTTGTTAAATAAATCAAATAAGGCAAAACCACCTTTAAAATTATGTTGAAAAATAATTTTTTACAATGAATGGAAAGATTCATATTATTAATAACTGGAAAAATTGTTCATAATGCCAAAATTCAATAAAATCTAGAGTTTAAGAAAATCAAGGAAAATATTATAATTTATCAATGTTTATAGTAATCTTTGGGAAGTCAGAATACAGATAACTTTTGCTTAAAATCAGTGTTTGTGGCTTATTTTCTTTTTAAAATATCTACAGTAAACCTATATTATTACTTTTACAAAAAAAATTATTAAAGTAGAAGGCAGCTATTCACAAAGCAATTAATCAATTTCAGAAAAAAAAATAAAACTTAAGATGCAGAAAATAGAATAGAAAGATTGAGATATTTGTGAGGCAAAAGAACAACCACGGAACCACAAAAAATATGTTGCACAACTATAAATAAAATAATTTTTCATCATGAATGATGCAAGATTCTTTTCTTCACAAAAATGGCCATCACAATGAGATTCTTGCCACATTCTACTTAGCCGCCTAGGAGAAGAACTAAACATTTCATCTTGCTGGATCCACTGAACCAAGCACAGCATTACTTGAGAAGTTGATGTAAAGGGTAGAATAATTTTGAAGGCTCTGTCAAGGTAGTCTCTCTTAAACTAGATTCTCAATTTGTACCCTGCACACCACAATGACTCAGAAGAGGTACCATCTAAATGTCTACTCAGCAAGGAAACAGTTATGATATCTGATGGGAGAATTGCTTGCCAGAGCAACAGATGCTGAAAGCTTGCTTTTCTCCCTCCATAAGAAAGAAACGCAAGAGAGAAGGGGAAATCACAGGAGAACGAATTTGTTTTAACTTCTTTCTGAGGTTGACCTTACAGCTGCAAAGCATTCTTTATCATTAAGGAAAAAGCTGGAAGAAGACCCTTAGCCTTACTCTCCAATAGGAACTACGAAACAGTAGCTGCAGAAGAGTAACAGGAGGGACATAGTAAGGTTAAGCCAAGGGAGTCTGAGGGACTCTTTCTCTTCTATTCTTCTTACCTCCCAATCCCCACCACAAGCAGCCTTCAGCCACAGCTTGGTCCATAAAAGATTTTAGTATTCCCAACAGCCCCTGAGAGATGGCAAGAAGCCTGGGATTTCTAAAGGAAAATTATTACTCTTCATATTTTTAACAAATCAAACTGACCTGTGTTTTCATGAATCTTATATGTTAATATAGTACTGTTGAAATATTTTACTTCCTTAGATAATACACTTACTAGAATGTAAAACTGGCCACTGGGTAATGCTGAATATTATGAAGAAATTATAAATTATAGAATTTCCCACCCAGGTGTACCTCCTTCTAGGATAAAGCTGTTTTTAAAAATCAAGAAAGGCCAGGTGCCGTGGCTCATGCCTGTAATCCCAGCACTTTGGGAGGCCAAAGTGGCGGATCATGAGGTTAGGATTTTGAAACCAGACTGACAACATGGTGAAACTCTATCTCTACTAAAAATACAAAAATTAACTGGGTGTGGTGGCGTGGTGTGTAATCCCAGCTACTCAGGAGGCTGAGTCAGGAGAATCACTTGGAGCTGGAGGTTGCAGTGAGCTAGATCGTGCCACTGCACTCCAGCCTGGGTGACAGAGCAAGACTCTGTCTCAAAAAGGAAAAGAAAAGAAAAAAAAAAGAAATTTAAAACACTAGTTTTAAAAAGGCAGATTACCTCAGATATTTGGCATATTAGAAGACACAAATAGATTTTATTTCAAGTATAGCTCCCTTGTTCAATGTTATGGATAAGATGCATATAAAACATGAATTGTGTGTAAATATCAATGTGTAAATATTCAGAGAATGAGGTAGAGCTTTGAAATAAAGATAAACAATGAAAATATTGAGCCCTACTGGAAATTACTTGGAATTACAAATTACATGCTACCTCTTTTTTAAAAGACTACTATTATATGATAAAATAAAATTTTGATTGAAGAAATGAAGTTGGAGTCTCCTTATCTTCAATAGGAAGCTGACTCACATATTTAAAAGATGCTTTTTGAATATTTGACTTTTCACTCTTTGCCAAAATGAACATTTGGGGACTGTATATGGCTAGACCTGCATAATACCCCCTAACCCACAACATACACATGAAGAAAGACAAAACTGACAAAGAAGGGTGTCTAGTCTCTTGAAATTATGCTAGACGTTGACTAAGACTCAGGAACTATTATGACCTAGAAAAAGTCCATCTCTAGAGTTAACATTTTATAATTTCTCATGATAATTAATAAAACTCTACTATGATTTTTAAATAATAAAAAAATATATCCTAAATGATAGCCTAAGTTTGGGGATTCAGTTAGAAAAATGGTTGGATTTCCCTGAGCTGACAGTACTTATTTCCCTAAATCCTCTGCAGCACCTGCGTAAGGTAAGATTTATTTGTTTCTGTAGCCATTCACTCAACAGAGATTTATGGAACACTTGCTATGTGTTAGCTGATTGCTGGGCACATACTAGTTGGTAACAGACATAATTCTGCCTTCAGCCTTCATAAGCAGATACTCATACAATCTTACAGTTGGACACTATTAAAAAACAAAAAGGCTGGAATCTTACAGTTGGACACTATTAAAAAAAAAGTTTGGAAAGAGTTTGGGGGCAGGGGTGGATATTAAGCCTTCCATGAGAAGATGGGACTCAGAGGAGGAGAAGAAATTAACCATATAAAGAGTGAGGATGGGCCTGGATATGCCAGCCAGAGGGCACCTATAGGGACGAAAGGCCAGAGAAACAGATTTGGGAAATTACACCGTCGCCCAAACTTCAACGTCGTCAGAGTGCTGGAGCACAGAACGCTGCTTCTTACAGAACAGTTTCTGTATTTTGACTTTTCTTCAAAGACATGGTCTACCAGGAGGTGTCTCCTCACTGTAAACCTGGCAGACAAGTTTTTGCTTGTGCATCTTGTCCAGCAGTTTTGCTTGATTTTTACATCTAGATGGATTTAGGCGGGCGTACACGTTCGGATTTGTGTCACAGGCCACCTAACTGCATTGGTCTCACACACGTGTGCCACCTGTGTGACCCCTGGGCAACAGTGTTTGCAAGCTTCTGTCCTTGACTATCGACTTTAGCACCAAAGACGGGCAGGAGAGCCGAAGAAGGCGGAATCGCTCTCAGAGCAAGCGGCGCGCAGGCGCAGGGGCGCCGGGGCGCGCCGAGGAAGAGGCGGGCCGCGGCACGGTGGCCACTCACTGCGCATGAGCGGCCCGCGTTGCCAAGGCAGCTGGGAAGGCGTCTCCCGGAAGACGAGCTCTGCAGAGCTGGGGGCAGACAGGGAGCTGTTGCCGAAGAGCTCAGCTCCTCGCAGTTTCCTGACCCGGTCTTAACCCGCGCAAAGGAGCCGAGGAGCCGAGTCTGATGCAGTGTGATGGCCATCTGCCCAGAATTGGCCCAAATGGACAAAAGTGCCTTTCTGATGAGACTGAAACTTTGAAGACCTTTACTGATGGGGTACAGACTTGCATTTCATTCTGCTCCTGTGGAGGACGGCAGTCCTCTCCCCTGACCTCTGAACGCAAACTGGAGAGGGAAAAGCAGACTCTGAGCTTGGAACAAGGAGACACGCAGTCTGAGCTTTTGGACTTCAAAAATGATGAAAAGAAGTTGAGTAAAAAATGGATCGACTACCTCAAGCACAAAGACTCTAACTTTGAACGGTACCAGCCAGACACCAAACGTCAAACAGAAATCATTCGGATACCCGATGAAGAATTGAATGCCCTGCAGTCCTATTGCACCATGAAGATAAATTTGATTCATTGTAGACGGGATTCCTAAGAGCAGCAGACATAAAAAGCTGCGTCTTGGATTGGATGCAGAGGCTTCAGAGAGAGATGCCTTAAATGGTTCTGTCCCTGATGAACTTTTGAATAGAATCTACTTTAAAAACATGAGGACAACAGCAATACAGGGTGCAGCAACTAAGCAACATGTATCTTCTCAGTGTCCCGCCTGTAACAGGAAAAGAGCAGAGCTGGCCCTGTCTGCCTTCCTGAAACAAAAGAAGACTTTACTGGAGTCACTTCTACTTCAAGAGAAAATAGATGAACATCTTCATACCAAAGACTTTCTCACTCGCATTGGAGAAGCACATCAAGACTTTCCCAGGCTTTCAGATGACCCCAGAATAATCTGGAAAAGACTGACTGAGAAAGTCGTTATCAGATACTCTGGTTTAGAAAGATCAGATACAGAGCAGAAGATGTAGCAAGATGGAAATAGTGCTTGTCATTTACTCTTTTCTCTGCCACTTTGCAAGTCACTTACTCTAACCCAACCAGCACTGGTGATTGTCAATGATAACGTGTAATGTAGATATATGTCTTGGTCATGTATTTAAGTAATTACCATAATTTCTACTGGCACTTGAGAAACTAACTTAAGACTGCTATGCTTCCTTCACAGATTTGAGGACTAAGAACTTTCTCTTTTTTTCTGATTATAGAAAGCGTTGTTGTTGGAATAGTTACAAAACCTTTACAAAAAAATCCAAGAGAGATTCGTTAGTAGTTTGGCCCAGGGTGTTGATGGTACAGAAGCAAAGTAGTATGGGGATGTAAGAGAAACTTAATAACTGTCTTTGGCAACCAAATGGTGTTATTAATAAATAGTATATGTTGGAAGTGTTACTAAGGCTCTGACTTGTGTGCCAGGATGAGTGATCATTAATTTCATTAAGATAGGAACAGAAGAGGACTGTGTTTGATGGGAGGGATGAGGAGTATGATTATCTGGACATGTAAGGTGCTTTTGGACATACACATTGACAATTTGAGGAAACATTTGATTATTTGTTTTTGCACTTCAGAGGAAAGGTATAGCAGGGTTGATACCAACTCTTGAGAAATGCCAAATAATGGCTAAGTAGATGAAAATAAACCCGCTTAAAAGGTTGAGAAAATAATTATCAAAGGGATCATGGATAGCAGGAATGTATAGTGTCATAGATGCTAATGAATAAATATTTAAAGAATGATAATTATTAGCCATATCAATCAACAGAGAGGCTATATAAAGATGATTTAGTCATGTATTTGGCACTGTTGACCTTAGCAAAAGCCATTTGACTTATAGAAATTGGATAGACAGGCCGGGCGCTGTGGCTCAAGCCTGTAATCCCAGCGCTTTGGGAGGCCGAGGCGGGTGGATCACGAGGTCAAGAGATCGAGACCATCCTGGTCAACATGGTGAAACCCCGTCTCTACTAAAAATACAAAAAATTAGCTGGGCATGGTGGCACTTGCCTGTAATCCCAGCTACTCAGGAGGCTGAGGCAGGAGAATTGCCTGAACCCAGGAGGCGGAGGTTGCGGTGAGCCGAGATCGCGCCATTGCACTCCAGCCTGGATAACAAGAGCAAAACTCCATCTCAAAAAAAAAAAAAAAAAAAAAAAAATTGGATAGACAAAGTAGATTGAGGAAAAATATAACGAATATGGTTGTAGAGTACTCCTTGAAAAATTTAGCTGTAGGGGGGAAAAGAAGTAGAGCTGGAGGTAAGTGTTGAGTTTTGAGGGAAGAATGCTTTAACAAATTATCTAAACAGCCATTTTAGTCATGAAGATTTTATGAAACTTCTGTTGTTCATCCAAATTTATGTAATAAGGAAACAGTATTATTTCCCAAGGAATACAATGGCATTTTGAAAACACATTTTTGGGGAAAAATATTAGGTGGCATTCTGAGAAGGCATTATTATTTATTTCCTCTATAAAAATACAAAATCATAGAATTAGTATCATTGCCTGGAGATCACTTTTCCACATGTCTAATGCCTGAAGTATCTCGGTGAAAAAGAAATTTGTTTGGAAAAATCAGTACAGAAGAGTTTTTGTATTGTATTTCAATATTACTCTTTGAGTTAAGAGCTCCATTTACATATAAAGATACTATTTTTTTGCATAAAATTTAGCATATTTCCTCTTAGTAAGTCATTCTAAATGGAAAATAACCATTACCATTTTCATAAGAACTTTTTATTTGCAATTCATATTATGTCATGCTTTATCTTTGACATCTCAATCTATCCATGTTTTATATAATCAAAATTCTGAATAATTTTCCACTTAGAATTCCCCCATTAAAGGTCATGCTCCACCCTTTTAGTCAATGAAGCTAGAAATCTGAGTCATCTTTTGTTCTTCCTTTTTTCAACTCAACCCCAAGCTAACTATTTTTCAACAAGACTTTCAGAAAATAGTTCTCAGATGTCAGCATACAGTTCTCAGAATTATTTTTCTTTTTTAAAATTTGTTATTTATTTATTACTGAGACAGGGTTTGGCTCTATCACCCAGGCTGGAATGCAGTGGTGCAATTACTGCTCACTGCAGCCTCAACCTCTAGGATTCAGGTGATCCTTACCTCAACTTCCCTGGCAGCTGGGACTCCAGATACATGCCACCGTGCCTGGATAAATTTATTTTTATTTTTATTTTCAGTAGAGAAGTTTTACTATGTTGCCCAGACCGATCTGGAACATCTGGGCTCAAGCAAGCTGCCTCCCTCAGCCTTCCAAAGTACTAAGATTGCAGGCGTGAGCCACTGTGTCCAGCCCAGAATTATTTTTCTAAAACACAAATCTGTTCAAATAATTCTCTTGATTTAAAACAAAACAAAACTCTAAATGGTTTATCTCTGCTATGGAAATAGTTCAAACTCATTAAGGTCACATAGCGGTTCTTTAACATCTGGCCCAACCTGACCTTTCTATTCTTTTGTAATCCCTTCCCCCTGTATTCAAGCCTCTCCAGGTACTTCCCTGAGTTCTTTTGTTATTTGTGTCACTATAGTTTCTATGTGCACATTTGTTTGGCCTAAATTCTCTTAACTGCGCTTTTCACCTGGCATACTCTCCCTCTTCTTCAGTTGTCTTCCTTCAGCTCTCAAATTTTATTGTCCTATTTTTATGACTAAAAATCCAAAGAATATTAGAAAGTTTAGATTACAAAGTCTCCCCTCTACCCTGTAACTATCCAACATCATTCTAGACTCACCTACCAGACCCCTGTCCTTGCCAGGGTTAACTCTTTACTTGCTGGGCCATAGTGCAGTCAGGTATATTGGGATAGGAGCACAGGTGGAGAGAATTCACAGAATCGGGGAGTGGACATTTACCTACCAGGACAGAGGTATTTCTGTACCTTAACCAACATAACCTTATTATTGTGTAGGGGCTCAATATTGATGTTACCTATAAATAACCACTTATATTAATTTCTTATTTATTCTTCCAGTGCTGTTTTATGCAAATATAAACACCAAAGATAATTTATTATGTGCTCTCTTTAGCACTTTGCTTTTTTTCCCTTTTGTTTTTCTTAGGGTAAAATCTACGTAACAGAAATTCGTCACTTCAACCATTATTAACAGTACCATTCAGTAGCATTACATCCATAATATTGTGCAACCATCACCACTGTTTCCAGAATTTTTTATCAGCTCAAACAGAAACTCTGGACCTGTACAGCAATACCTCCCCATTCTCTCCCTGGCCCTGGTACCTGGTCACCTTGGATGTACTTTCTATTGCTGTAAATTTGCTTATTTGAGATATTTCATATCAGTGGAATCATGCAGTCTTTGTCGTTTTGTGTCTGGCTTAGTGTTGAGGTTCATCCAAGTTGTAGCATGTATCAGGACCTCATTTATATGGTTCAGTAATATTCCATTGTATGTATATGTTACATGTATGTATATTCATTCATCTGCTGATGGACACCCACATTGTTTCCACTTTTTGGCTATTGTGCATAATGCTGCTATGAATATTGGCATATGAGTATCTGTGCACTTGTTTTCAATTCTTTTGGGCCTATACTTCTAAGCAGAGTTGCTGGATCACATGGTAATTCTATGTTTAGCTTTTTGAGAAAGTGATAAATTATTTCTACAGCAGTTGCAGCATTTTGCATTTCCACTAGCAAGCTACAAGGATTCAGATTTCTTTGCATCCTTGCCAACACTTTTTATTTTCCACTTTAAAAAAATATAGTTTTTTGAGTAGCTGTGAAGTGGTATCTCATCATACTTTGATTTATATTTTCTAAATGCCTAATGATGCTAAGCACTTTTCATGTGATTAATAGTCATTTGTGTATCTCATTTAAAGAAATGTCTATTCAAATCCTCTGTCCATTTTTAAATTGATTTGCCTGTCTTACTGAGTTGCAGGAATTATTTTTACATTTTGGATAGTAAATTCTTATCAGATATATGATTTGCAAGTATATTCTCTCATTCTGTGGGTTTTTCATTCTCTTGGTAGTATCCTTTGATACACACAAGTTTTTAATTTTAACAGAGTTCAGTTTATCTATTTCCTCTTTTGTTGCCTATGCTTTTGTTGCCATGTGTTAAGAAATCAACACCAAATCTAAGATCATGCAAGCTTGACCATATGTTTTCTTCTTAGAGTTTTATAGTCATAAATGTTATAGTTAGGTATTTAATCCATTTTGAATAATTATCTTCTTTATGGCATAAGCATCTAATTTTATTCATTCATATGTGGACAGACAGTATTTTCTTGTACCATTGTTGAAGATAACTGTTTTTTCCCCTATTGAATAGTCTTAGCACCCTTGTGAAAAATTAGTTGATCATAGAAATAAGGGTTTAGTTCCGGACTGTAAATTCTGTTCCATTGGTCTCTGTGTCTATCCTTACTCCAGTATCATACTATTTTATTACTGTGCTTTGAGTAAGTTTTGAAATAAGGAAATGTAGAATCTCTATCTTTATTCTTTTTGTTCAAGATTGTTTTAGCTATTCATGGTTCCTTGAGATTCTATATGAATTTTAGGATAGATTTTTCTATTTCTGTAAAAAATACCATTAGACTTTTGATAGAGATTGCATTTCATCTGAATATTGCTTTGGGCAACATTGTCATCTTAACAATATTAAGCATTCCAATTCATGCACATTGATGGCTTTATGTCTTTTAAAATTTATTTCATCAGTGTTATGTTACCTTCATCATATAAGTTTTGTGCCTCCTTTGTTTTATTTATTCGTAAGTATTTTATTCTATTGGTTGGTATTTTAAAGAAAATGGTTTAAAAATTCTTTTTGTATTGTTCATTTCTAGTGTATAAACATACAGTTGATATTTGCATGCTGATTTTGTATCCTGCAACTTTGCTGAATTTATTTATTAGCTTTAACAATTTAAAAAAAAAAAACAGATTCTTTCGAGTTTTCTAGGCCTAAGAGTATATCTGCAATATAATGTTATGGTTTCCTTTCCAATTTGGATGCCTTTTTAGCCTTGCCCAATTGTCCTGGCTACCACTTTCATTGCTATATTGAATAGAAGGTGTGAAAGTGGAATCTTTGTTTTGTTCCTGATCTTAGGGGAACAATTTGCAGTTTTTCACCACTGGGAATGATTTTACTTATGGGTTTTCATACATGACATTTTCATCAATTCTTAGTTTATTGAATGTTTGTATCATAAAAGCATTTTGTATTTTGTCAGTATTTTCTGCATCCATTGAGATAATCTTGTAGTTTGGCATATGCTTAAACCCAGCATTTGTTCTCATAGCCTCACCTTTGCACTCATAACCTTTAAGCACTTACTAATCAGAATTAAAGTCAGCAGCCTATGTGCTCTATGACATTAAT